ATAATTCGAAAAGACCAACTAAACGAGCTGCGACAAGCTTTTCGAAGGCATCTGCATATGAATGGATTATTGCTAGTTGAGATCGTTGCAAAAAGACTTAAATGATACTCACAACGAGGGTTGTCACCAGACAGGCGTTTAGCGTGGGCAAAAAAATCCTTGACATGCTGAGGAATATGCACACCTCTAATATCAGCCCCAGCAACATTAGCAGAGGAGCTGGAAAAAGTACCCTCGTACGCACCAACAACTCTGCTCTGGGGAATACAAAGGCAAAGCAATCATGTACCTCGCAGCCACACCGGATCACATAAAGACTTCCGAAAAACTGTAGCGTGACGGAGCTTGCGGACTAGGATGAGGCTTGAAGCCAATATAAACATATCTTTCTCCATCACACCCATTATTATTCACACTATTAGTGAACCCTACTGCAAACTGCGCCGCTTCAGAAATGCAAGCCCGCTATCGCGTGAACAAGCCATCATAGCTGCGTAGAAAACAAATGAAGAAATTTTCAAACACCAGTGATGACACTTCCTGGAGTCCAAAGACTCGTAACAACAGAGATGTCAAATTTGTGTGGTATGAACTTGATCGGAGAATTGATTTGCAGGCTACAGACCCATGAGTTTCAGTTTTTCTCCGCTTATCACAAGAGTAGCATAGATCTCTATGAAAATGGAACTTCGCCTCTTTAAGCTACTTGCTTTATTATGTGGAAGTATGAACGAGTCTGAGGAGCAGAAAGTCAATGCGAATCCTATCCTGCTTTCCGCCAAAAGATCACATGGACTAATATGGAACGAAGTGTAGTTACAGTACCTTTTTACGGACCTTGTGAAGCCATTGCTGGGTTTTTCTTCATTCTTGACTTTTCGCTCCGGTTCCTTCCTACCAATTTTACCATTGCTCTGCAAATCAGAAATTTCAGCTGATTTTTGCATTAAAAAGTCGCCACTACCTGTTCATCAACTGCTGCTCTCTTTGCCGCCTTCCTCACTATGGATCGCCCCGAAGTATTACCAATCTGTTTCTCCGTTGCGGTTCTCTTTGCTCCCTTCGCCGCCATACTTGGGTCGGAAACGTTACTACTAGAGTGTTCATCTGTTGCGGCTCTCTTCGGTGCCCTCTTCGCCATAATTCGGCCTCAATCCAGGCCCTAATGACAATTATTAGAGATAAATGCATCATAAAAGCAAAGCATTAAAAGATTGTCACTAGTTTCCAATATCATGTGGTAAACAAGACTGATGGAAAGTTGGTAAGCAATTTTATCTGCATTGTCATTTGGTAAGTAACAATAACAAATTTTTGAGTAACAAGCTCTGCAAAATACAACACAATTAGATAATCTAGAGGACAAGAGACCAGCTCCAGTCTGCCATCATCGTTAGCTTGACGCAGGCTGCGACGGTTTTTCAAGAGGCACCTGGAAGTGAAACTGTATCAGATAACAC